GTGTAATTGTATCTCTCATGCAATGACGTCATTCCAACAGCTGTTGGCTGTATTACGTTGATAATTCGTCACATATGTACACACCCCCCGATTTAAATTTAATGTACATTACAAGCAAACATAGTAGAATGGTAAGGAGGACAGTCGCTTTCAGTTTACGGTTATGATGTCTCCATTGTCTTCCTGGGCAGTTAGCTGGCCACGTAATTTTCTGCGTCTTTTGGGAACCAAATATCCACGATAGTATACACAAAATCTTGTTGTGAGCTACTTCAATTCACAATAGATCATTACAGCTCGTTTTTCAAGGTCAATTAAAATATGCCAAAAATCCTCGCGTGTCAGTCTGAAGTATTTCCTTCAACTCAGATTTATTGACTAAAATGTTATGTACATTTTTCAATGATACGTCAGTTTCATTTTAATTTACCGCAGAATAACTGGACTATAAAAGAAGAAATTATAAATTCGGGCATTTAAGTCGTCTTGGGCGATTAGCCATGCCAGCATGGAGAGAATGTTAATCTCCATGTAAATTCATTTCGCGCTGACATAGCTGATCGCCAGAGAAGGCATTCAATCGCCATGAAAGCTTCAAGTCTTTTCGAAGGCCCTCTTTTTTGGTACGATGTTTCTTCTGTTTTCATATTTCCTTTCTAAAATACCTTACAGCTATGTTCTGTCCAGAAGGTAAAAATAACGGTATAATTTTTTAAGAGCGACAGATTTTTTAGTGTTTCACATAGCCTACATACGTTGTATACTCAAGTACGCAAATAGGCCTATATGTTACTGGAAGACGTACCTTTCCGCAAGATAAAGAATTGCGAGGCTACACTAGGATTTTATTTTATTTTATTTAGTGTTTTGTCTGCCGACAGGTCCATATGAACAGGATCCTTCCATCCTTTTCTCGGACTGGGACCTGTTCATATACGTTCTTGGCAGATGATCCAGAAGTGGTTTGCCATTGCCTTCTTCTGTGTGTGAATGGAGTAATTGTTGGGATGCCACGGAGGAAAACTCCGTGTTGCCTAGACCACGGCCTTGCCTAACACAAGTTATAAATTCGGGCACCGCCGGGAATCGAACCCCAGGATTACAAGGCCAGCGTTCTGACCGCTAAATTACCGTCGGTCCACACTAGGATAATGCATTAAAAAGAGTTGGACTGAACTGGACGACCGGGGTTTGATTTCTGACAAGGGCAAGAATTTTTTTTACTTCGCAATCCATCCTCCTGCCCGATTCGTGCCAGGCATCAGGGTCAAGGTGGCTGGAGCATGAAACTGACCATTAGTCTTCTCATTCATTACGGAGGCCTAGAATACGTGGATTATTAACCACGTGGCCTTTAGGCAGGAGGTCGACATTACTTTTTTTTTCTTCTAAAAGACGGGCACTTAGTGCACAATCGAAGAATTCGGTTATAACTGCAGAAGAGCCTCATTGTGATGTTATACTCAAATATTATCTACACATTCTTAAGCAGGGAGTTTAAATTTTCTTTAACAGACTTTGTCTGTTCGGTGCTAGGCAAGGTAGTCTAAAGGACACCAACTGAACAGATCCTTTGTTCCCATCAACACAAACTTATATAAAACAGTTTCTGCTAAGATCGTAAGAAATGTAAAATCAGAGGGACAGACACATGCAGGTACTTTCCTGAATCTCTTAAATTTCTTTTATGGCGTGTGAATGTTTCCCTGGATCATTCCCAGATGGCGTTAATAGCTGGGCCTTAGGGTTGTGTGTTTCTGTGATTTCCGCCAGATAGCGTATGTGCGCAAGCCGAAGCTTGCAATTTGTTTGGCGCCAACCCAGTCTCTTGCAAAAAAGTGATATCAATAAGTTTCCGCGGTATTAAATCAACCGGAGCGTGAAGCTGATCTCTCACCATGTGCTACGGAGTTGAAGAATGCGTGGAGCTGTGCCTTCATTTCGTATGAGTCTCAACGCAAAGCTACTTTACTCATCCTTTTACCGAGGTAAGTTGTTATGAGACCAGGCCTTGTAGATGCTAAGTTACTGTATACTGTGTAATGCAATTTTGAGGTGTCTGGTGTGAGCTTGACACAGGACAAGGAGATGAAACTGTTTGTTCCAAGTGTTGAAATATTGCTGAAGACGTCTTAATAATGCAAGAGTTTAGAAGTTTCTCATTGCTGAAAAACAAAACAGCACTGGGAACACAAGGTTAACATTTACATAGAACATTTACAGTTGATTATATTCCATGAAGATGCGATCATTCTTCAACTAGTAAATATGAGTTCATCATCAGTTTGTTCTTATGTGATTATGTTTTCATTTTAATAATCCTGCTTATGAAGTATTGTAAAAGTGATTATAATTCCATGCAGATACGATAACTCTTCTGCAAGAAAATGCACTTCTAATGTAAGTTATTTCTACATGATTTTATTTTAATTAACCTGTTTATGATTAACGTGGACCAGAAAAATCTGGTTCTGTATCAAGAAAATGTTAAATTGTTTTTTGTAAGTGAAATGTGACAAATTATGACAACAGTATTATATTTACATTGAGTCATCATTTAGAAGCAACCAGATGTACCGGTCAAAGGCTTTTGTGATTTTACTGTAATTCCAGGCAAGTTCTGGGGATATTAATGGTTCTCAAATTGTGTTAACTGCACAGTCCCAATGTACAACTGAACTTGAGCTTTCCAGTTGTACTACCATTTCATGCCAACACCCAAAACTGAGATGAGTGACAGCAAAGAACTTTGGGTGGGTTACATAATGCCTCGAACCACATTCTACTGACTTGCCACTGTCTGGTGAAAGCAACAAAATTGTTACACTGTGTTTATTTCATAACTTGTTATTTTAATTTATGTATAAGGCATCTTTTTTGTGGTACTTTTATATTTGTCTTTTACTGAATATTAAAATTAAACAGGTTTTAACTCTCATAGAATTTATTCTGAGGAAACGTTTCCTCACGTGTCTGTTTGAAAATGAAAATATTTGTATTCATTTTCTTGTAAATGGAGAAGTGGCTATAGCTTCTGAATACCCATACACCACGACGTCTCATTGGTCGTGCGGCAATGATAATTGTTTATGGTTAATTTATAAATTTTCACCAGCAGTTCACACAGCTTAGTCTCATGTCATGGTACCATTATTTGTTTAATCAGCCAGCCATAAAATTTCTAGGGAATATAAAGCAAAATAGCAACACTTAGGTCTTTATATAATGGGCAGTGAGTTTATTGCTTCAGAACGTCAGCTGGTGTATGAATACCT